ACGCCACGGATACGACGCAGCCCTGACGTCTGCCCGATCGCTCCAATTTACTCTTCCCGCTCGCCCTCGCCCTCGCCCTCGCCCTCGCTCTCTCCCGTTAACCCGCGAATCGAGAGAAGGCCAGTCGGACAGTCCAAACAGAGTCCTTCCAACTTAATTGCCGAACCGATCCGCATCTTTCAGCTTCACCTGTAATTTACGTACCGATCTCTCCGCAACGCGAATCGTCATTCGTCCTCCGACTATTCCGATCGAGTTACAACGGTCAATTAAAGCTGGCGAACGAGGGTGAGAGGAAACGAACGGAGCAACGGCAGAGTTTGAGCGAGCGCTCGTGGGCCCGTGAATTATCGGGTTCCTGTTAGTTGCGTGCCGGGGCTCGCACACCTCGGGCGAACGGCTCGTCTCTTCGCGACAAGACAATTGCCGCGCTTCCTGATATAGTTTGCGCCTTTCCAACTGTAACGAACGGAAATTCCCCAGTCGCGTCCCTCTTTTCCTTTCGCGTGTGGCCGACCGGTTTCCGCGCTCCTCTTTCGCCAGATTCCGAAGCTCGCGTTCCTCCCTGAGAATCGAGAGGAGAACGCAGTTGGTACGGTATAATCGATCGCGTATCGACGTGTAACCGCGTCGCCAGCCCGACAAAGGACCGCCGCGGGCATCGCCGCTTTAATTGAATTAAGTTTTTGCAGATTTATGGCCGGATAATTACGGGGCAACGCGTCCTCCTTCGTTCACCTCTTATCGAGAGAACGCGGCTCGCAACGCGCCGAGCAAATAAATTAGCGCACCGTCCCCTCGCCGCCCCAACGCCACGCGGGGAATAATATTTCGATTTGAGGAATAACCGGGGTCTAATCTGTTATTCCCCCTCGGAGCTGTAACGCGCGTAGAGCTCCCCTCGCGTTTACCAACGATACGTGACAGCTTATTTCCCAAAAGAAATGCCGACGTGCTGCTCCCCTCCGCGCCGTGGCCGCCTCTGCCCACTAATAAAGTTACATCCAACTTCATTTGCCTGTTACCTTGCCACTTGTTCGAATTAGATACGAACCGGGCCAGACCAGCCTCCTCCACCTTGACGGTTGCGACCGCAAGCTGAACTGTAAACTTCGTCGGAGGCTCGTCGACGTAGCAAATTGCTAGAGGTGGACGAGAGC